CATAGTAGGCTATTTTCAAAAAAATATCGATTTTATATCTATATTAGCATTCTTTATCATTTATAATACCTAGATATGTTTTAAAATGCAATTTAAAGCATTTTTGGTTTGGATCATAGTAGGCTTTTTTCAAAAAAATATCGATTTTATATCTATATTAGCATTCTTTATCATTTATAATACCTAGATGTGTTTTAAAATCCAATTTAAAGCATTTTTGCTTTTTTTCATATTTATTGCACTTTATTGCATTTATTGACGACATACTGTCCGGTAATAATTCACATTTTACACTTTTGTATTTGTACACATATGAATTAGTATTATGTAGGATCAAACTTCTAATCTTCAAATTTAGGTTTCAAATAAACTAAGGCTCTCGTTTCGATCTTCTGTAGGCGTTACGTGATACTTTTCAGGTCCGTTCTAACAATATTCCATTCGTGGGTAATCTTGTAGCTCTCGTTCCTATTTCTCCCGCTAAACTTCAAGGTCCTGACCCGTTCCTTAATCCAACGTTGCCCAAATGCCCAATTATGGCTTGATCTCCTACATTAAGCAGTCGAAGTATCTAAACTTCCGAAAAAGAACAAATTTGGAAATGGCTGGATTCGAACCGACGACCTTCGAGTTACCATCCCAAATTTGAGCCAAGCGCCTTACCTATTCGACCAGCAAGGCACTTAACTGCATAGTAGGCTATTTTCAAAAAAATATCGATTTTATATCTATATTAGCATTCTTTATCATTTATAATACCTAGATATGTTTTAAAATGCAATTTAATGCATTTTTGGTTTCGATCATAGTAGGCTATTTTCAAAAAAAATATCGATTTTATATCTATATTAGAATTCTTTATCATTTATAATACCTTGATATGTTTTAAAATGCAATTTAAAGCATTTTTGTTTTGGATCACAGTAGGCTATTTTCAAAAAAATATCGATTTTATATCTATATTAGCATTCTTTATAATTTATAATACCTAGATATGTTTTAAAATGCAATTTAAAGCATTTTTGGTTTCGATCATAGTAAGCTATTTTCAAAAAAATATCGATTTTATATCTTTATTAGCATTCTTCATAATTTATAATACCTAGATATGTTTTAAAATGCAATTTAAAGCATTTTTGGTTTCGATCATAGTAGGCTTTTTTCAAAAAAATATCGATTTTATATCTATATTAGCATTCTTTATCATTTATAATACTTAGATATGTTTTAAAATGCAATTTAAAGCATTTTTGGTTTCGATCATAGTAGGCTATTTTCAAAAAAATATCGATTTTATATCTATATTAGAATTCTTTATCATTTATAATCCTTGATATGTTTTAAAATGCAATTTAAAGCATTTTTGGTTTGGATCACAGTAGGCTATTTTCAAAAAAACATCGATTTTATATCTTTATTAGCATTCTTCATAATTTATAATACCTAGATATGTTTTAAAATGCAATTTAAAGCATTTTTGGTTTCGATCATAGTAGGCTATTTTCAAAAAAATATCGATTTTATATCTATATTAGCATTCTTTATCATTTATAATACTTAGATATGTTTTAAAATGCAATTTAAAGCATTTTTGTTTTGGATCATAGTAGGCTATTTTCAAAAAAATATCGATTTAATATCTATATTAGCATTCTTTATCATTTATAATACCTAGATATGTTTTAAAATGCAATTTAAAGCATTTTTGGTTTCGATCATAGTAGGCTATTTTCAAAAAAATATCGATTTTATATCTATATTAGAATTCTTTATCATTTATAATACCTAGATATGTTTTAAAATGCAATTTAAAGCATTTTTGGTTTCGATCATAGTAGGCTATTTTCAAAAAAATATCGATTTTATATCTTTATTAGCATTCTTTATCATTTATAATACCTAGATATGTTTTAAAATGCAATTTAAAGCATTTTTGGTTTCGATCATAGTAGGCTATTTTCAAAAAAAATATCGATTTTATATCTATATTAGAATTCTTTATCATTTATAATACCTAGATATGTTTTAAAATGCAATTTAAAACATTTTTGGTTTCGATCATAGTAGGCTATTTTCAAAAAAAAATATCGATTTTATATCTATATTAGAATTCTTTATCATTTGTAATACCTAGATATGTTTTAAAATGCAATTTAAAGCATTTTTGGTTTGGATCACAGTAGGCTATTTTCAAAAAAATATCGATTTTATATCTATATTAGCATTCTTTATAACTTATAATACCTAGATATGTTTTAAAATGCAATTTAAAGCATTTTTGGTTTGGATCACAGTAGGCTATTTTCAAAAAAATATCGATTTTATATCTATATTAGCATTCTTTATAACTTATAATACCTAGATATGTTTTAAAATGCAATTTAAAGCATTTTTGGTTTGGATCACAGTAGGCTATTTTCAAAAAAATATCGATTTTATATCTATATTAGCATTCTTTATAACTTATAATACCTAGATATGTTTTAAAATGCAATTTAAAGCATTTTTGGTTTGGATCACAGTAGGCTATTTTCAAAAAAATATCGATTTTATATCTATATTAGCATTCTTTATCATTTATAATACTTAGATATGTTTTAAAATGCAATTTAAAGCATTTTTGGTTTCGATCATAGTAGGCTATTTTACACGCTTTTATTTAACTCACACTGTTTGTATATTTGCGTCAAATCTTGTAATTGATTTTTCGATCACTTCTCCTGCTCCTTCAAACAAATATCGATTTTATATCTATATTAGCATTCTTTATCATTCATAACACCTAGATATGTTTTAAAATGCAATTTAAAGCATTTTTGGTTTCGATCATAGTAGGCTATTTTCAAAAAAATATCGATTTTATATCTATATTAGAATTCTTTATCATTTATAATACCTTGATATGTTTTAAAATGCAATTTAAAGCATTTTTGGTTTGGATCACAGTAGGCTATTTTCAAAAAAATATCGATTTTATATCTTTATTAGCATTCTTCATAATTTATAATACCTAGATATGTTTTAAAATGCAATTTAAAGCATTTTTGGTTTCGATCATAGTAGGCTATTTTCAAAAAAATATCGATTTTATATCTATATTAGAATTCTTTATCATTTATAATACCTAGATATGTTTTGAAATGCAATTTAAAGCATTTTTGGTTTGGATCACAGTAGGCTATTTTCAAAAAAATATCGATTTTATATCTTTATTAGCATTCTTCATAATTTATAATACCTAGATATGTTTTAAAATGCAATTTAAAGCATTTTTGGTTTCGATCATAGTAGGCTATTTTCAAAAAAATATCGATTTTATATCTATATTAGAATTCTTTATCATTTATAATACCTAGATATGTTTTGAAATGCAATTTAAAGCATTTTTGGTTTGGATCACAGTAGGCTATTTTCAAAAAAATATCGATTTTATATCTATATTAGCATTTTTTATCATTTATAATACTTAGATATGTTTTAAAATGCAATTTAAAGCATTTTTGGTTTCGATCATAGTAGGCTATTTTCAAAAAAATATCGATTTTATATCTATATTAGCATTCTTTATCATTTATAATACCTTGATATGTTTTAAAATGCAATTTAAAGCATTTTTGGTTTGGATCACAGTAGGCTATTTTCAAAAAAATATCGATTTTATATCTTTATTAGCATTCTTCATAATTTATAATACCTAGATATGTTTTAAAATGCAATTTAAAGCATTTTTGGTTTCGATCATAGTAGGCTATTTTCAAAAAAATATCGATTTTATATCTATATTAGAATTCTTTATCATTTATAATACCTAGATATGTTTTGAAATGCAATTTAAAGCATTTTTGGTTTGGATCACAGTAGGCTATTTTCAAAAAAATATCGATTTTATATCTATATTAGCATTTTTTATCATTTATAATACTTAGATATGTTTGCAATTTAAAGCATTTTTGGTTTCGAACATAGTAGGCTATTTTCAAAAAAATATCGATTTTATATCTATATTAGCATTCTTTATCATTTATAATACCTAGATATGTTTTAAAATGCAATTTAAAGCATTTTTGGTTTCGATCATAGTAGGCTATTTTCAAAAAAAATATCGATTATATATCTATATTAGAATTCTTTATCATTTATAATACCTAGATTTGTTTTAAAATGCAATTTAAAGCATTTTTGGTTTCGATCATAGTAGGCTATTTTCAAAAAAATATCGATTTTATATCTATATTAGCATTCTTTATCATTTATAATACTTAGATATGTTTTAAAATACAATTTAAAGCATTTTTGGTTTCGATCATAGTAGGCTATTTTCAAAAAAATATCGATTTTATATCTATATTAGCATTCTTTATCATTTATAATACCTAGATATGTTTTAAAATGCAATTTAAAGCATTTTTGGTTTCGATCATAGTAGGCTATTTTCAAAAAAATATCGATTTTATATCTATATTAGCATTCTTTATCATTTATAATACTTAGATATGTTTTAAAATGCAATTTAAAGCATTTTTGGTTTGGATCACAGTAGGCTATTTTCAAAAAAATATCGATTCTATATCTATATTAGCATTCTTTATAATTTATAATACCTAGATATGTTTTAAAATGCAATTTAAAGCATTTTTGGTTTCGATCATAGTAGGCTATTTTCAAAAAAATATCGATTTTATATCTGTATTAGCATTCTTCGGAAAAGTTTTCGATTTCTGTCCCATATCAGTCAAGAAACATGATGACTCTTACTAGTCATTTTTAATTTATTCACAGTTCATTGCATTTAAATCGAATCATAAATATAGAATAAATTTACATTGTGCACACAAAAACAAGAACCTCAATAGACATGAGAGAGGAGAGGGCGAACGAATGAATTTCTCCACGAATTTACTGATAAGAACACTATGTCTGTGTTGTATTAATTTAAATTAATTGAATGTAATTGAAAGTCATTCATATGTTCAGCTGATTTTTTCTGTTTGAGAGCGTACGCGAGAGCATTTACATTCATTTCAGTTCCACATCTTAAACTTTAGCCATGTTGTGATAGTGAAGCCATAAGTGTCAAGTAGTTTAGGAATTTACTCGTTTTGGACTTTTTCATTCCTTTCTGGCACGTTTCAATTAAAAATTCAAAGCATGAATAATAGAAACGTCTTGAAAATCGGATTTATTGGAGCTGGAAAAATGGCTTATGCATTAGCTAATGGATGGCTTTCAACAGGTTTGAATAATGAGTCAAAAGTAGAAAAAAAAATATTTTTTCTATTTTCGTATACCGACATGAATTCATATAATATTTATGATATTAGGATTGCTGAAAAGTCGGTATCTAATTGCGAGTGCACATCCATCAGATGAGGTCTCATTGAAATTATTTAAAAGTTTGGGTGCAGAAGCTGTTACAGAGAATCGATCTGTTGTTGAAAAGTCACAAATTATTTTTATATCTGTGAAGCCTGCTGTCGTTAAACATGTACTTGATGACGTCAAGAATATTAGCAATGGAAAACTTTTCGTGTCAATTGCAATGGGTGTAACTCTAAATGAGATTGAAGAAATTTTGCCAAGTGACTCGAGAGTCATTCGTGTAATGCCAAATACTCCGGCTATTGTTCAAGCTGCTTGTTCTTGTTTTGTTAAAGGAAAAACTGCTACTCATAACGATGCAGAACTGATAAGAGAATTATTCGAAAAAATTGGGACTTGTGAGGAAGTATCAGAAAATATGATAGATGCTATCACTGCTCTTTCAGGAAGTGGACCTGCTTATGTATATAATTTTTTATTTTAAAATTTCCATAGAATTAACAGTTTTTTTTACCACACAGGTTTTTGTGATGATTGAAGCACTAGCTGATGGTGGAGTAAAAATGGGACTTCCAAGAGATTTAGCTTATAAATTGGCGACACAAACCGTTTTGGGATCTGCCAAGTTAGTCAAAGATACAAACACACATCCAGCGATTTTAAAAGATAATGTAACATCTCCATCGGGTTCAACTGCCTCTGGCCTCCATCATTTAGAAAAAAATAATTTTCGTGGTGCACTTATTGGATGTGTTGAAGCTGCAACGCTCAGATGCAGAGAAATTTCAAGTAAAACGAAATGATTTTAAATTTAATAATTGAATAATTTTTTATTGCTTGCGTCAATATAACAAAGTTTATTTATATCTTAAAATAGTTTTTATGCCAATTTGAGAATATACTCTAATAATATGCGCTAAAAACATCTGTTTGTATTTTAATAAAATTATTCTATTGAAAGATTTCTATTATTAGGTTTATAATTATTTTGAAAACCATCTTTGTAGTGCAAATGAATATAGGCGATTCTACGAATGATTTTTTTCTACAAATTTGTCTCCAAATCTATATTTCTCATTATCAGTTGCATTACTCCCCATGTTTCATGTATTTAATAGTAGATTTTACCGAGATCTACATGTTGTTCTCACCCAAACATATTAAAAATGGTTAATTAAAGAATTATTTACATTCTACGAAAAATTACTCTGTTTCACATGAATTTTTTCGCCCAAACAATATCTTTAAGGTAATAAAATTTCCACTTATACTAAGTATACAAAGTTATAGCTTAAAGTAAAAGCTTCAAAACGATGTCAAAATCATATTTGTGGAAGCCTTAATTAAGCTGCAATTTGGATTCTACGTCAAATTTCATAAGTGAAACAGAGTAATTTGGAGATAATTCCAAAAAAACTACCAAATATTAAAATTAAAACCATGAATTTCTCAAGCCATAGCTAAGTAATTTGAGCGCAGATGTAATCATAATTCGTCATTTGAAATTTGACGTAGAATCCAAATTGCAGCTTAATTAAGGCTTCCACAAATATGATTTTGACATCGTTTTAAAGCTTTTACTTTAAGCTATAACTTTGTATACTTAGTATAAGTGGAAATTTTATTACCTTAAAGATATTAATGAAAACATTTTGGCAGTTTGGGCGAAAAAATTCATGTGAAACAGAGCAATTTTTCGTAGAATGTAAATAATTCTTTAATTAACCATTTTTAATATGTTTGGGTGAGAACAATATATAGATCTCGGTAAAATCTACTATTAAATACATGAAACATGGGGAGTAATGCAACTGATAATGAGAAATATAGATTTGGAGACAAATTTGTAGAAAAAAATCATTCGTAGAATCGCCCATAAGGAACTTTCAGTTTAAAGAAAACATGAAAAAATCAGAATTTTCACTAATTTTCAACTTCAAACAGCCATAAAATCGTAGAAACAGAAATGACTTGAATTTTTGATTTGCAGAAACAGAAATGACTTGAAATTTTGCATTGAAGTCAGTTTTGATGTCCTTTATAAGAAAAACTTCACTTGAATCATCTAATAGCTCTGGACAAAAACGTTAACCCCGATATTTGAAAAAAATTTAATCTGATGAATCCATGCGATATTGAGTTTTAGTCTAAAGTTTCTTCTTTCTTTTTGAATCGACCGTGAAAGCGAGAGGAAATTTGCCAAATTTATTTCAGCATTTCCGCGTCATGTTTGCATCATGAAATGCATATAAAATGGTAGAGTATTATCACTTCTATAGTACTTATGCTTCAAATCTAAGGAAACAGATCAATTAAAGTGAAAAATCGATTCTCCGAACGTCAACTTTATGTCACGGAGCATTTTTAAACTTTTATTTTCCAGATTCGTGAAAAAATTACCGAAATATCAAATCAAAAAATTCAAATACTACTCTTATCTTTGATTATAATGTAAATCTATAAATAATAATTAAAGCAGTAATTATTTTTGATGATTTAAGACTATTTTAAAAAGTACTACTATTCTAAAAGATATTACCAAAAATATTTTTACCATCTAAACTCGAATGAGCTTATTTTTCAAAATTCCACCATTCTGGAGAATTGCCCTAATGCTACATTAAACTAATTTTTTTAATCTAAATTAAACTTTGTATTTATTTACATTTAAATTTAAATATGTACAAAATTTCTATGCATTTTGTTGTTTAAGGTTTCAGGCATTCAGTTTGCCTTTTGTCACTTAATTTTTGTTTTAGATTACGGATTTTGCTTTATTTGATTGCTAGTTCAAACTATTTAATATACAAAGCTAAGCTTAAAAACTATAAGAAGTTTGATAGTAGAACAAGTAAAACCTAGTCAAAAGACTTAATTTTAGGAAACATTTATTTTTCCAAAGCTTAAATATTGTAAACAAAGATTTAAAAATTCAAAATTAGAGATTTTTTAAAAGCTTTTTTAACGGATAAAAGCGCTATTCAGAGGTATTGGGAAATCATAATTCGAAACATTCCCATTTTCAATTGAAAGTCCCTTTTTTGAATTTTTACCCATAGTGGATAATCACGGTCAAGGACAATTGTTACAATGACAATTGTAACTACTTTAACAAATATGATTGATGTTTTAAAAGTCTTAAAAATAATCTTACACTTCAGATGAATAAAAATTTGAAAAATATTCGAATATTTGGCAATGTTTGGCATGAAAATTCAAATATTTTTTACCGTTGAATTTTATTCTAGTTTTATTCCACAAGCCCCAATTACTTCTAATAATCCTTAATTAAATAAGATAAAAAAACAAAAGCAACAAGTTTAATGTTTAAATCCAGGTATCTAGTTTGATCCGATAAGAAACCACGGCAGTAAAACTGTCACTGCAATCGCTGCAAAACAAGTTGCACAGAATAATATAGGATGATTCATTTGACTTTTGAATGTATTGTTGATATCTCCGTTGACTGGTATCAATGAATCATTTTCTGCTGGATCTTTGGCGTATTCAAGAACTTCCACTTCGCAACGAAATTTCACTTTCGATGCTTCTCGACGCCAAAACAGATGGCCACTTTCTCGTCTGTCCAAACTCCACATTGGTTCGGAAGGTACTGAAAATAAAATGAAAACCAAATTTTCAACAAAATTATATTCATAGCTTCAATCAATTTTCAAAGCCGTGGGAGACTACAAAATATTTTTTGATAATGAGTTTGACATTGATATCCAATAGTTTAACAGGAATCAATTCGGAACAAATTGAAAAGACTGTACATTATGATAAAAAGTTATTGAAAAAAATCTAATGGATTTTTTAATAAATGTTGAAAATGTTTTATGATTTGGTAAAAAGTTATTGGGATAGCACTTACAGGCAACAGCCAATAACAACCATAACCATCGCAATTGAAGTATATTCAGATTAATGGAAAACCATGGAAAACACTATGGGGCAAAATTGAAAAAAAGCGGCAATTAAGGAAATTTTTGAACAGTTTTGAACTACGCTTTCAGGGTTATTTTTTCTTGTAGAGGACATCAAAATTGACTTCTATACCAAATTTCAGGTCATTTGATGCTGTTTTTACAATTCTATGGCTGTTTGAAGTTGAAAATGAGTGAAAATTTTGATTTTTTCACGTCTTATTTAAACTGTCACATCTTTTTAATAGTTAAAGACATTAAGAAACGCTTTTCAGTTTCTAATAGTGTCATGCAAGAGCTTTGTTTTTATTATGTACAAAATTTGTAATTTTGTAGTTTTGGTACCAGTATGGGAAGAAATGTGTAAAAAAATTCTATGAAAAATATATTCAAGCATGCCGTAAAGATCTTAAATGGCCACTTTTCAGTCATATAAGCACATTGTGTTTTAGCCTCTGCCTTCTAGTTTTCAAAAATGTATAAACATCAAAATTTCTTTGGTACTTTTTTGAGATAAATTGATTTAAATAAGTAGCAGAATAATTCAACAAAAAATAAAATATCTTATAAAAGTTACGAAACAACAACTAAAAATGAGTTTTGTGTTAATTTTCGATGACAAACAATATTTAAAAACAAATTGCGAAGAAATTTTTTCAAAAAGTTCAAAATCTGCCAAGATATAGGGTACTTTTCATATCTGACGACTTGTATGGTTTTCGCATCACTCAAACTGCTTATATTTTTGTGTACCTCAATATTTTTTAATTCTGTTTACAGTTTATTGTAGCTTAAATCTAGACCTTTCTAAGGATATATAATACTTTGTAGTTTAGTATTATCTTGGTCATGAATTTAGGACTTGTTTGTGAACGACCCTAAACAACAAAAAATCTCAAAAACGTCATTTCTAGAAATATCACCTAGAAACAAAATTAGGTATTGTTTTTAGGTTTTTCATGATGATATATGATATTTATGACTATTAAAACTTAAAAAAGTGCCTTTCATAAACTTTTTGCAATCTCAGGTAGCCTGATTAGGTACGACCCTAGTAGTATCTATTTGATCAGTATTACTTCAGTATTAGACTAATTTGAAGATTTTTAATGATTTATATTTTATATTTAACATAATTGAGCCAAAATAAATAAGTTTTAAGTACTTTTGTTTGCTAAGAAGTAATTTTTGAATGTTTTAATAAAGACCAGTTTTCGTCAGTCTCATTCAATGCACTCAAGGAGTAACTATAACAAAGTTTCTTGCAAGGACTATGCATCATTTTAAAGGTATTGATTCAATCTAGCAATAATCGAAAACAGATTGCAAAAATATTAATTCTGAAAAAAGTTCTAGTCATTTGAGTGAATCAAAAAACATACTGAACTGCAACCAGAATAGGTAAAAACACAAAAATCGCAAAAAAATTTATGAAATACACTTTTTTAAGTTTTAATAGTCATAAATATCATATATCATCATGAAAAACCTAAAAACAATGCCTAATTTTGTTTCTAGGTGATATTTCTAGAAATGACGTTTTTGAGATTTTTTGTTGTTTAGGGTCGTTCACAAACAAGTCCTAAATTCATGACCAAGATAATACTAAACTACAAAGTATTATATATCCTTAGAAAGGTCTAGATTTAAGCTACAATAAACTGTAAACAGAATTAAAAAATATTGAGGTACACAAAAATATAAGCAGTTTGAGTGATGCGAAAACCATACAAGTCGTCAGATATGAAAAGTACCCTATATCTTGGCAGATTTTGAACTTTTTGAAAAAATTTCTTCGCAATTTGTTTTTAAATATTGTTTGTCATCGAAAATTAACACAAAACTCATTTTTAGTTGTTGTTTCGTAACTTTTATAAGATATTTTATTTTTTGTTGAATTATTCTGCTACTTATTTAAATCAATTTATCTCAAAAAAGTACCAAAGAAATTTTGATGTTTATCCATTTTTGAAAACTAGAAGGCAGAGGCTAAAACACAATGTGCTTATATGACTGAAAAGTGGCCATTTAAGATCTTTACGGCATGCTTGAATATATTTTTCATAGAATTTTTTTACACATTTCTTCCCATACTGGTACCAAAACTACAAAATTACAAATTTTGTACATAATAAAAACAAAGCTCTTGCATGACACTATTAGAAACTGAAAAGCGTTTCTTAATGTCTTTAACTATTAAAAAGATGTGACAGTTTAAATAAGACGTGAAAAAATCAAAATTTTCACTCATTTTCAACTTCAAACAGCCATAGAATTGTAAAAACAGCATCAAATGACCTGAAATTTGGTATAGAAGTCAATTTTGATGTCCTCTACAAGAAAAAATAACCCTGAAAGCGTAGTTCAAAACTGTTCAAAAATTTCCTTAATTGCCGCTTTTTTTCAATTTTGCCCCATAGTGGAAAAGTAACTTCTTATTTTTAAATACTGCAGAAGTTTCGGACTTTGATAATTTTGCATTTAGCTCCTATTCATGAAGTCTAATTTTGATTAAAGCATTTAAAATTATTGAAAAATGAAATTACCAAATCACTTAATCTGTTCCATTTTCGATAATGTTTCTACAATTACAAACATTCATAAGATTTATTTTTAAAATTAGTTCCAAAAATTTTAATTAGATTATTGAGCATCTGAACAAAACGATCTCCGGGTGATTTTTTCTTGTAAAGGACATCAAAACTGGATTATGTTCCAAATTTCAGGTCATTTGGTGCTGTTTTTGCGATTCTGTGGCTGTTTGAAGTTGGAAAATGACGAAAAAAGGTTTTCAGTTCCTAATAGTAACATATAAGAGCTTTATTTTGATGTAACACAAAGGTTGGGAAATATGTAGTTTTGGTTCCGATATAGTACAAAGTATATGAAAATCCTATGAAAAATATCTTTAAACGTGCCGCAACTGTCCTAAACGGCCACCCCCCCCCTTAAACCAAATATCAATGCAAAGCTCTTGTTTTCTGGTTTCCAAAACAGTAATAACATTGTAATTCTGTAGAGGACTCGAAAAGTTATAGCAGTTTAAGTGAGACGACACATATTTTGCCAAAATTAAAATTTTCTTATAACTGTATAGAAAAAAATAACCACAGATAAGGTTTGTTCTGTTTTTCAATGCTAAATGTTACTTAAAGATGACCTGCGAAGAAATTTTTTAAAAAAAATCAAAATTTGTCGATATATAGGGTACTTTTGATATCTCACGACTTGTATGTTTTTTTCATCACTCAAACCACTAGTACTCTTAGAAAATTAAATATTTTTGAATTTTGTTTTCAGTTAATTGTAGCTTAGGTCAGTACCTTTTCAATGGTGTATAATACTTGATAGTTGACTTTGATCTTGGTCATGAATATGAGGCTTGTTTGTGAGCGACTCTAAACTAGAAAAAATCTCAAAAACGTCATTTCTAGAAATACCACTTGGAAACAAAATTAAGTATTGAATTTTGGTTTTTTATGATGATTTATGATAATTATGACTAAAAACACTCAAAAAATTGTATTTTATAAACTTTTGGCTATCTCAGGTAACTTGTTTAAGTACGATCCTAGTAGTTTTTATTTTTGGTTTTTGGCTATTTTGTTGAAGTTTAGCTTGCGTCGGTCACATTCAATTTACTCTAGAAGCAGCTATGATGAACTTTCATACAAGTATTATACATCATTTTAAAGGTATTGATCTAAGCTAGAAAAAGCCGAAAACAGAATGCAAAAATTTGTATCCTGAACTAGTGTATCGGGTAGAAACCCAATGCGGATTATATTCACACCGTACTATCATAAGTCTTATGGATAGACCAAGATTTGCCCATCATAAGTATGAAGGTATGAAGCTTGATAAGTCAACTAAGCTTCGCTCAGCATAAGTTTGAAGTTATAAAGCTATCGCGTAAGCTGAGCTACGCTCAGCATAAGTTTGAAGATATGAAGCTAGAGAGGCAGCTGAGCTTCGCTCAGCATAAGTTTGAAGTTATAAAGCTATCGCGTAAGCTGAGCTACGCTCAGCATAAGTTTGAAGATATGAAGCTAGAGAGGCAGCTGAGCTTCGCTCAGCATAAGTTTGAAGTTATAAAGCTATCGCGTAAGCTGAGCTACGCTCAGCATAAGTTTGAAGATATAAAGCTAGAGTGTCAGCTGAGCTACGCTCAGCATAAGTTTGAAGTTATAAAGCTATCGCGTAAGCTGAGCTACGCTCAGCATAAGTTTGAAGATATGAAGCTAGAGAGGCAGTGGAGCTTCGCTCAGCATAAGTTGAAGTTATAAAGCTATCGCGTAAGCTGAGCTTCGCTCAGCATAAGTTGAAGTTATAAAGCTATCGCGTAAGCTGAGCTACGCTCAGCATAAGTTTGAAGATATAAAGCTATCAAGTCAGCTGAGCTACGCTCAGCATAAGTTTGAAGGTATAAAGCTTGACGAATATGCCAAATATTCTTTAAAAGTTTTTTAAAAAAAATTTTCATCCAAAGTTGAATTTTATAAAAATCACAGTCAACTTTTGTTTTAAAAAATTCGTAAGAAAGGAAAGTTTTTTGCTTTTTCTGAAGCAACGGCTGTTCCTACCTTGCCCAAAAACAATACAGCTCTTCTATAGAGCAGCACGGATCAAATGTAAAAAACTAGAAGTCTCTACGATGTCTCGTTATTGAGATTTCTTGCTGATTAAC